TCATGCCTTACAGAACTTGCTAAGAGTTGCATATTGTTGTTGGGCATGGTGGTACACACCTTTAGTCCCAGCACTTGGGAGGCAGAGGCAGGTGGATCTCTGTGAGTTCAAGGGCAGCCTGGTCTACATAGTGAGTTCCAGGCCAGCTGGGACTACAGGGAGACTCTGTCTCAAAAAGCAAACAAAGAGTTGCATATTGTTTAAAAGTGATTCCTTGGGTTTTTGTTTTCCCTGACTTATTTTCCTAGACTGACTGATCCCACTAAAAACACTTATGGGACCCGAGCATCAAGTTTCACACCCAGTTAAGGTCCACGTCTCCTTCCACATCTAGTGAAGCTGCATCAGTTCAGTGCCTCACTGGACCAGCCCCTCTCCCCAGTTTCATACTTGTGTTCAGGAAAGGGAATTGAATATTTAAAACTCTTAAGTGCATTGTATAATAAGTTATAGTTAACTGGAGATCATTACATTTCTGATGAGAGAGAGAGAAAGAGAGAGAAAATAAAGCAGAAAAGTATCACCTAAAACTCACCTGAAATAAACAATAGATGAATGGATGGATGAATAGATGAATGGATAGACATAGGTAGTCTTTAATTGGCGATGTAGAGATAAATTTATGTAAACATTACATGCAAACTTTATGTATTGGAATTATTAGATCCAAATTAAAGGCACATGATACTCCAGGTGCCATTATTGATTCCTGTATTTTCTTCTAATCAGTTTGATAAGTTATCATATAACTGATTCATTGCATCATAAGCATTGCTTAAAAATTGTCAATGTTATAACAGCTGAACAGCTGTGGTAACTGAATAACTGAAAAGTTTATTCTAACTGCTAAATCAGCCCTAGATACTCAACAAAATCATGCTTTTTAATAGTATAAAATACTGAATTATGTTAATGATTCTTCTCAGTCAATTGCTTTAAGTTGCCTGTTGGTTACTCTTCTGACCAGAGACCATGTCCTGCACAAGTCAGAAGAGCTTGTGCCTCAACTCATTTCATTCTGCCTTGACATGTGACCTCTGTTCTTCACTCGATGTCCCAGCTTGGGCAGAGCTCCTCTGCTCCCCTGTATGTAATCTCCAGATTGGCTCTAGGTTCCCACAGAAATGGACAGTCCAGTCAGAGAAGCCTCCCCAAGAAAAGTATGAACTATATATAGTCAGGCTCAGTTTATGTTCCCACCTGTGATTGGGCCCTCACATGGGCTTAGTTAGGAAGACGTGCTGCATTTTAGTTACAGTTGGGGTTTTTTTGTTGTTTTCGTTTTTTTGTTTTTTGTCTTTTTGAGACAGGGTCTCCCTGTAGCTCCAGCTGTCCTGGAACTCAATATGTAGACCAGGCTGGCCTTGAATTCACAGAGATCTGCCTGCCTCTGCCTCCCAAGTGCTGGGATTAAAGGCGTGCACCACCACACCCGGCTTAGTTACAATTGTTTTAACATTAGGGATTAAAGCAATTCTATTTTAATGATAAAATAGTTCAAGCTTACATAGAGTAAACATCAGTGTTACCATCAGCCAACAGATTTAATAGATGGCATCATTTTGCCCAGTTCTTTCAGTTCATTTTCCAAGAATGAAATACACCACCTTCCCTATGCTATTCTTGCCTTTTCCCAAACATACCTAAATATCCTGAAATTGGTATCCAACCTTGATTTTTATGTTTATTCCATTTATGTCAATAAATAATATGTAGTCATGTTTGTCATATACTTAAAATTTATACAAACAGTACCTGTATCCTTCTGCCACTTTTCCATTCATAAATAAATAATATGCTTTAATATGCTTTTGAATAAACCTCATGTGCATTTTGTTCATTCATTGCAATTGCAGTGAAAGCTTTAAGCCAAAGGTGTTGGGTAATGATTGTGTCACAGTCACCACCAGGAAGGCAACGCAGTGTCATCATCTTGGGATTTCTCCAGATCTCCAACACATTTCTTTCCAGTTTTTTTAGAAATAAATTCTGATTCAGAGCCTTGTATTATAATAACAGTAATAACTGCTGTAATAAAACACTGCCATCGATCTTTGTGTATAAATTTCCTTAGCTTACCTGTTCTCCTGGTTTTTGAATACTTAGATTGCTTCTAGCTTTTTATTGCTAAAATTGGTACTGAAGTGAGCATCTTATTATCTGCCTGCTTTTGCAGGTGGGCAGAGTTTGGGCGTGTCTTGGTTGTATGTTATATATACTTCCAACTTTAACTTGACCTTCCCAAATTGTTTTCTAAACTGGTTAGATCCATTTCCAGTTTCACCAGCAGTGTATTGGAGTCCCCCATTTCCTCTTGTTCTTGTCAACACTTGCTAAATTAGACATTAACTTTGGCCAATTTGATGGGCATAAAGCATTTTTTATTAACGTGAATCTCTATTTTCTAATGTTATTAGCATCTTTCTATATCTTCATTGGCTTTTAAAGATTTGCTTGCAGATGTCCATTGACCATTTGTTCCATTACTTTCCCTGGTTGGTATTTTTTTTTCTAAGTTCTTTATATAGTCTGGATAGAAGTTCTTGATGCTGGGTATTTTCATTATAAGTATTTTCTCCTAGTCTAGAGATCTTTATTTTATTTTATGTGTATGAATGTTATACCTGCCTGTGTGTAAGTGCACTGTGTCATGCAATGCCCATGCAGGACAGAAGAGGGTGTCAGAGCCCCTGGAGCTGGAGTTATGGATGGTTGTTAGCCACCATGTGGGTGCTGGGATTCAAATCTGGGTCATAAGAACAGCCAGTGCTCTTAACTGCTGAGTCATCTTTCCAGGCCCATTGGAGATTATTTTTAAATTTTATTTGTGGTATCTTTATGTTTTGCAGAACTTTTCTTTTAGTCTGCTTTATCTACCTTTTCCTGTATGACTTCTGCTTTTTATGTTTTTTTAAAGTAGTTTTCCCTTTGAAGAGATTATTCTTCTTCTAAAAGCTTAAAATTTTAAGACTTTAATTAAACTGAAACTGTTAGAAGTAGTGGGGTAGGATTCTAATCTTTTTCCCGTATAAACACCCAAGTCTCGTGTATTTCCTTCCTTCCTTTGGTTTGCAGCACTGCCTCTGCTTTGCGTGCATGGTCTGTTGCAGGGTTCTCTGTTCTCCACTTTTGCTTATTTCTGCACTGGTTCACACTGTTTTAATCACTAGAGCTCTAAAACAGTTGCTAGCACTCAGTATGGGCAGTCACTCACAGCAACCTTAATTCTTTTTCTTCTTAACCCTTCAGTGTAACATACTACCTTTAGAGTTAGCTGTCAAATTCCACTTGGGGCTTTTGATGAGAATTTCATTGACTTTTACAGATTTATATGAGGAAAATTGACATCTTCATGATATTGGGCATTTTCCATCTATGAACTTAATATGCATAGTAGTTATTTCTTTACATTTGTCAGCAAAGTTCATTGCTTTCGATGTGCTCTGCGTTGCTTATTGATTTGTTCTCTGATGCCTTAAATTTTGTGTTGCAATGTGAATGGGATCCTTTTATATTAGGCATTGTTGGTACTCATAAGGTCTGTAGGTATTTTATATAGCATCTTTGCTTTACTCTTTAATTTTAAATAACTTTTCTTATACTTCCTATAGCATTCTAATGACAGTTTTGTTTCATTTTCTTTTATATAAATTTTTAGTGTTGCTCTTTTTGGGGGGGGGCGGTCTTTTTGAGACAGGGTCTCCCTGTAGCCCCAGCTGTCCTGGAACTCACTATGTAGACCAGGCTGGCCTTGAACTCACAGGGATCTGCCTGCCTCTGCCTCCCGAGTGCTGGGATTAAAGGTGTGCACCACCACGCCCGGCAGTGTTGCTCTTTCTTTTTATATTCTCAAATGTTAAATTTCAAGCTGTTTAAAAGTAAACAAAATTTAAATAAAATCTAAACTCACAATTTATAGAAAACTGAGAACCTCAGTTGAGTTCTATTTCAAGATTATAGTGTATTTATGATTAGTTTTAGATATTATATGGTCGTAAAAGCAAAAAAAGGACTATCCACTTTTAATGTTTTAAAATATTCTATAACTTCATGCAAGGTTTAGTTTGTTCTTGTTTGCTTGACATCCTAAAAGGAAGTTACTTGTGTCTTTTTTATACTGTAATAAATTAAACTGTATCTCCCAGCCCCCCCGACACACACAAATAATATGACTGGCTCTTTTCATTCAAAGAAATGTCTTACAGAAATGCCTCATAAACAAGATGCCATTTTGCTTAACAGTAGGTTTAAAATTCTAATTGTACTAAATAATTTAGCTCCCTATTTTAAAATCATTTTTAGTATAAAGAATCCACTAATTTCTATATATTCAGATCCACAGAATGATATTCGTATACATAATACATATTCTAAATGTGAAAATTATGTAGCTAAAAAGAATCTTCTAGTACTGGTGCGATGGCTCATCAGGTAAAGCACTTGCCTGACAACCTGAGTTGGATCCCTGAAACCCTCACAAGGGGGAAGGAGAGAAGTGACTCCACAAAGTTATCCTGGACCTCTACAAGTGCACTCTGACATATGCACACATGTACACACATACATTCACACAATAATAGTAAAGTTTTAAAAGAAATGAGTTTTCTAAATATTCGTATTATAAATCTTGCTAAAAATTTAGGAACTTTTTAGGATCAGTGTGGCAAATTCAAACAAATGTGAAAATACACATTTTTCACATTTTTTATGTAAGCTGTATACTTTCATTTTTGTTTTCTTCTGTGGCTTTTCTTTTCTAAATTATTTATTTTAAAATGTCCAGATTGAAAGAGAATTGAGAAAGGATTTCATTTGTAAATATTGTGGTCTCAAATTTAAATGGTCAATACTGTGAGAACTTGAACTTCAGTGAGGCGATCTAGTAGAGCCTTTCTTTAGCCTGTTGATATTTTGTTCCGTTTTATTTCTTTGGTTTCTTTTAGTTACATTTGAAATGAATTGTTTCAGGACATTTATTTCCTCTTTTGCCCTGGGTGCAGGTTGCAGACTGTGCTCCACTTCCAGTTCACACGCCAACCTTAAGGAAAAAGGGATGCCCTGGTTCAACTGGCTTTCCACCTAAGGTACCTGCCCTAGTTGTAAGCATAGTGTGGTCCCACAAAAATGAGAATGACTTTCCTCTACTTTGTATGTTTGCTCTGAGTTTTGGTGATGATTTCCTCAAAGTTATAAAAAGCTTGGAAAAAAAATAAATTCTCTACGAAGTCCATTAATTCCCACTTAGGAAGTCAGGAGGAGTGTGTAGTATTTTACTTTGTTTGTTTGTTTGTTTGTGGCAAGGTCTTCCTGTAGCCCCAGCTGGCCTGGAACTCTTTATGTAGACTGGGCCTCAGTCTTACAAATCCGCCTTCCTCTGCATCCTGAGTGATGGCTTAAAGACATGTGCCACCATGTCCAGCTTTACTTTTTAAAACTTTAAAATTGTTTTTATGTGAGTGTTCTGCCTGAATGTATATAGGCACACCACTTGTGCACTTAACCGTTGATCCATCTCTCCAGCCCAATTATTTTACTTCTTAAATTCAGTGTTGCATAGCCTGTTAGAGGAATAATGTTCCCTCCAGCCACCCCTCCCTATTGTTGCCTGATGAAGGTCTTACATTGAGGCCACTTGTCAACAGATATGAGGTTGATTCTGATAAGCTACTGTGACTAGACTGTGGTAAGATGTAAGGATGAACTGGCTCCAGATTCTACAGAAAGATTACAGAAATTGAAGATCTTCCTCCTAAAATGTAAACCATGAGTAAATCACAAAGTGAGATGGGCCAATGGACCTGAAAAAGTGATTAAAAAAATACACACACACACACACACACACACACACACACACACACACACGTGCACACACACACACACAAAGAACACCTGGTGTAAAAGGATAACAAACTAACATTATGTCCAGGTAGTGCAAACTTTTGAGACCAGACAGAATACAAATTTAAAATAAACATAACAAATATCCTTAAAGAGATAGGTAATAAATATAAGGTGGGATAAAGCAATAATGAGGAAAATAAACTGGAGTCATTTGACATAAGAATATGATTGCTGAAATAAAGAACTTAATAAAGGACTTTAAGAGTAGAGTTAGAACAATGGGTATAATAGAGAAACAATTTAGTAAAATAGAAGATGAAATAAAAATGTGAAAGTTAATCTATATGACAGAAATAGTGCCAGCATTTACATAGGACAGTAGGACTTTCAATAGTAAAGAGGTGGGGTTTAAAAGCTAGTGAGAAGTTGGAGAGATGATACCAAGGTTGAGAACGCTTGCTGCTCTTCCAGAGTTCAGCTCCTAGTACCCATATCATGCAGCTCCTAACCACCTGTAACTCCAGCTCCAAGGGAACCAAAGCCCTCTTTCTAGTCTCTTTGGGCACTTGCATGCACATGGTATACACACGTATACACAACTCGTAAGTAAAAATTTTTAAATATTTTTAAATAAAAAAGGAATAGTGACCTAGAATTTCCCCAAATTAAAGATAAAAGCATTAAAAATGTGTTCAAAATGTTTAAATAGTCCCAAGGAAATTTACTTTTTTTTAACTATTAGGAACTTAGATAACAAATGAGAAATAGGGGACATTAGAAATGAGGGTGTTAGGCAGACACTGTGGTTCAGCAGGTAGAGGCACTGTCTGTGCAAGCCTGATGACCCAAGCTTGATCCCTGGAACCCATGTACAAAGTCAGGTGTGGTAGTCTGCATTTGTAATCCCAGCACTCCACGATAGGATGGGAAGCAGAGACTGGAGACTCACCTGGAAGCTCAAAGGCCAGCTAGCCTAGAGTACACAGCTCAGCAACAGAAACAGCAAGAGAAGCCCATCCTTCACAAGGTGGAAGGCTAGACCTGACTCTTGAAGGTCCTCTCTGACTTCCACACACATCCTGTGGCACTTGCTCACCCACACTTATACTCAAATGGTGGTGGTGGTGGTGGTAGTGGTGGTAGTAGTAGTAGTAGTGAGGAGGAGGAGAAGGAGGAGGAGGAGGAGGAGGAGGAGGAGGAGGAAGATTATCATCTTTTAAAGGGGATTAGCAAAGGAAGATTTGAAATGAGAGAAAACTGAAATTAAAAGAAATATATTTTCAGAAATATAAACTAAATTATAAGAAAATCAAGAGCAGACAAACTCAGTAGATAATGACTTTTGGTGAACAAAAGTTGCAAAGGAAGATTTTTTATTTCAATCAGAATACGAGGAAAGAAGTAAAAAGGACTTGAGTAGAAATGATAGAAAAGACTGACATAGAAGAGCCAGCGCTTGTGTAATAATAGTCTGACAAACAAATGAAAACAGTCAGAAACACTAAATGTTCTTTTATGCAAGAAAATTTCCCAAAGCAAAAGAAAATTTGAAACTCAGATTATAAGAATGTACAGTATAGCTGAGATTTGTTTCTATAATACCCAAGAAATTCTTGCAGCTCCACATGAAAAATTTGAGAGATCTATTGAAAAATCGGCAGATGACATGACTGTGTTAAAGAAGGGGACATCTCAAGGAATGTCCAACCTAATCAATAATTGGCAAAATAACCAAGTAACTTTTTTGGGGGGTCTTTTTAAGACAGGGTCTCCCTGTAGCCCCACCTGACATGGAACTCACAGAGATCCCTCTGCCTCTGCCTCCCGAGTGCTGGGATTAAGGGCAAGTACCACCCTTAATCCCAAGTAACTTTCAAATTATTACTTCATACTCTAAAGTACAATATTACTTTATAAAGTAACATCAAAGATGTGGAAAAACAGCCCTCTTCCCATCCAGCTAGTGGACGTATAAACAAGCCAAGCCATTCTGGAGAGCTAGGGTTAATGTGGGGTGAACATAGACCATGTGACCAGCAGCCTCATTCCTTTAGAAAAACTTTTCAACAGCCTCATGGTAAACTTGTTTGCTAACTGCACTTTTTATGGTAGTTGGAAGTTGAAATAGGAGAAAGATGGATAAAATGTGTTTAACACATAATAGAACCAAACTAATTTATTCAAAGATCTGTGTAACTCACATACACCAAATCCCAAATTTCATGGAGGACTGGAATCAGTAATAAATGAAAAGTAGGGAAATGAAGGTGCTGGCCTCCACCCAGCACATGTTACTAATAGAGGAAATGAGTTCATGCCTGGATATAAACTCAGTTTGTGTAGGTGATAGTCTCCCCAAAATAAAACTTACTTTATCATATAATCCACATTTCTAGTTTTGATTGACACATTAAGTTTAATGTTTCTTTTGCCAGATTTCTTTTTCTTATTTTATTCCTCTTCAAACTGTCCTTTAGAGAAATCAGAAATCTTATATTGACTGGGAGACAGGAAACAAGTATCTGAAAGGTCGGAAGCAAAGTCATTTGACAATAGAATTGAATTTGTGTCTTTTTTTTTCCCTCTACTCCCAAAATCAAACCAAAGTCTTATTATATATTGCTTGGAGAATCCTGGTCTTCAGTTCTGTTATACATACTGTCCGTACTTAGGACTAGTGAAGTATGAATCCCTTGGTGCTTAGGAGCTAGAGGAGCAATTCCAGGTTAATAAGATGGTGTACGTTCTACTCGGAATAGAATCAGGGCTGGGCATGGTGGCACACGCCTTTAATCCCAGCACTTGGGAGGCAGAGGCAGGTGGATCAATGTGAGATGGAGGCTAGCCTGTGAGCTCCAAGCCAGCTAGGGCTGCAAGGAGAACCTGTCTCAAAAAGACCAAAAAAAAAAAAAACAGAACAGAATCAAATCTGAGTGCTGCTTTGAAACTTGCCAAAGGTCTGATGCACTTCTGTAATAGAGAGATTTGAGGTTGAGAAGCCTGAATTCCCTGACCAGCACTGGTCAGGTCATTGCATGTAAACGATCATCTATTTCTTCTCACTTTACTCTCATCCCAGTTGTGGAGAACAGGCTTGGTTCTTAACTTCAAAATAAAACCTTCAGATATTCCCTTTGGCTTTTATTAATGTTAATCTCAACACTACTTAAGTGCTTTTCCTCAGTATTCACATTTATTGGCATATAGTTACTAGTTTAATCACATGTATAAAAGAAATAATTAAAGCTGGGCGTGGTGGCACGCTCCTTTAATCCCAGCACTTGGGAGGCAGAGGCAGTGTGAGAGGCCAGCCTGGTCTACATAGTGAGTTCCAGGACAGCTGGGGCTACAAGGAGACCCTGTCTCAAAAAAGACCGGAAAAAAAAAAGAAATAATTAGCAAATTTGTTTTCATAAAGAAATAAATATCCTTTGCTTATTATAGACCAGGCAGGCATTGTTTGAAATACTTTGTTTTTAATTGTAGGTATTTGTCAATATTTATAAATATTTATATAAAATAATACAAATATA